TATTTTTACAAAAATTTCCATTTTGTAAGCAAAATTATTGCAAAATTTTAACCTTATAATATTTTTCAAAATGACTCATATGAATAAAAAGAAGTCTCCTTCCTCTCGACGCTGGAGTTCTGCTCGATATTAAAAGTTTAGAAGTGAAAAAGTTTTTCAAGGTAAGACGGGTAAATTTAAGAATAGTTTAGTTTGAGAGTTTTGACTATATAGGACATGTGTTAGCTTTTCATGAGCTTTTGAATATACATAACCTATGCTGCTTTCTAGTGAAGTGTGACAATTTATTCGACCTTATTTAGTTGACTGCAGCAACGACTAACACTTTTTCCTTTTTAATTTTTTATCAAACTAAAGGTTCATGTCAAAAAGTTCAAAAGGAAGTTTAGATCCAAAAAGACCTTCAAGTAAAAATTTCAACTTTAGAAAATCAATTATCAACTTCCTTAGATCAAACTGCTAAATTTTTCCTTGAGTGTGAACATTTAGAAAAGGATTTGCTCCAGGAAAAAGACAAGAATCAAAAACTTCAAGAGAATTATAGAAAACTTAATGAAAACTTCCAGTTTGTTCGTCGAGAAGGAAATGTCAATTTAGAAATTTTGGAGCGACTTCAAAGACGTTTTAATTTTATCCAAAATCAACTTGTAGAGAACAGTAATCGTTATCAATTCCCAGTGTGTCTTATTCCTTACAAAGATCAATTAAATTAGATTTTTTTTTTTTTTTTTTTTTTAATAAAATTACTATATATTCATCTCATAAAAACTTGCCAGGGTCTGAGTCAGTAAATACAACTTTTGGTGTAAGATCATTAGTATATTTTCTGATCATATTTAGTGCCCAAACAAAGCTCTTTTCTGTTTTATCCTCAAGCAATGCAATTGCAACAAGACGTATACGATTACAATTATCAATAATTGCAAAGAAACAGGCCACCATATTGTATTTGTTAGTTCAGGATGTAGTGTCAAAAAAAAGAACATCATGGTATCGTGTCCATAAATATTATTGATCAGGCGTCATCCATAATAATGCACATAATCGACGTTCAATTCCATCAAATTTAATTTTTATAAACCAACATGAATCATCAGTTTGTTTTGAATACAAGAATTTCATTAAATCTGAAGTATCAAATTCAGTCCTTGGTGATAACTTCTTTTTCGCAATTTGAATTGCATTATACAGATTCTTCTGATAAATGTTTCTTCCAAGAAACTTTCCTTTCAAAAGCTGGCCAATATTTCGTGTACCAGTTGTACCATATTGTATGCAAAATTCTATAAATTCGATCATATCTTCACTAAGTTTACGATATTTAGCAATATTGGTTAAAGGTGAAGGTATCATTTGATGGTTATGTTCATCAACAACAGTAGTAAATGAAATCATTGAAGAATCTTTTGGAAGATTTCCATTAATTCTCCATTTACATCCTGTTGCTTTAGACTGTCAGTTTCTTTGATC